GGCTACAAAGATGATCAAGGGAGTGGAGCATCTCCCTTATGAGGAGCGGCTGAGGGAGCTGGGTCTCTTTAGTTTGCAGAAGAGGAGACTGAGGGGAGACCTCATTCATGTTTATAAATATATAAAGGGTGAGTGTCACGAGGATGGAGCCAGGCTCTTCTCGGTGACAAACAATGATAGGACAAGGGGTAACGGACACAAACTGGAACACAGGAGGTTCCACTTCAATTTGAGAAGAAACTTCTTCTCAGTGAGGGTGACAGAGCCCTGGACCAGGCTGCCCAGAGAGGTTGTGGAGTCTCCTTCTCTGCAGACATTCAAAACCCGCCTGGACGCCTTCCTGTGTAACCTCATCTGGGTGTTCCTGCTCCGGCAGGGGGATTGGACTGGATGAGCTTTTGAGGTCCCTTCCAATCCCTCATGTTCTGTGATTCTGTGATTCTGTGATGATTGCAGTATGTGCAACAGCAAAGACTAGAAGCCAAAAAGAATGGAAATTCATTAGTGTAAAACTCGATGTTCACATGCTCCTGGTCTTCCCTACAATAAGGAGGTGCTACTCCTTTCCTTTTCTGTGTTAAACATAATGAACAGCAAGCAGAATAGATGATATGTAAAACACTGTGGGATATGAATGATGCATCCGAATGTGTAGTGCAAACATGCAGTAGGAAATACTCCACAGAACGTACAAGCTGTCTGAAAAGAATAATTTTTTCTTGCAGGTTTCTTTCTTGCTGTCATAGGTGATTGTTGAGGCCAGTAACATAAAGTTTAAAAAAACCTGCTTGTCTTATATGGGCATAAAATCTCGATATTTATCATGAGTACTGATGCACTTTGGAAGGAATATATATCCTCTTCTTCTTGTCTCTAGCAAGCCTCTTTTCTCAGGATGAAACTTGAATAAAGAGAGGAGAGGAAATTCGTATGTGCTTCTTGTAAAATTTTTCATCTTCAATCAGAGATGTGTAGAAAGTGCCACAATGAATTTGACCGATGGTCTTATCAGTGACATGAATATGAAGCCTCCAGTGAGGGCGACTTAAAGGAAAACCGGTTTTAAATGTTCTGAACATGTCAGAATAAGCATGATTAGTGAAGCTAATTCTAATTTTTATAGAATTAAAATAGGAATTTGGTCTGATATCTAATACAGTAAATTCATTCTCTCTGTGTGGCTGGAAAGTTACTCAATAAGAAACAGCTTCCTCAACTCTTTTCTTTTTCATTTTCTACGACCACTGGGAAAAGCCAATGATTTGAAGAAAGTATAACTCCTCATTTCGTAGGGTTTTTCTTTCCACATCTTTGATGCATTAGTGTAAGTAAAGTTGTGCTAATTACCACTCTACTAATGCATATGCTATTATTTTAATTGTCTGCTGATTAATCTGTTCTTCATGTGCTAATGTCCTTCTGATGTGCAAAGGGAAGTAAGATAAATATAGCTGATGTTAAGACTCTTTTGCAGAATGTTAGACCAGGTGATAGCAATACACAGTGCATTTGGGGCAAAGGATTCAGACATGTTTAAATTTTAAGGTACCCATTATGCTTAAATTACAAGCTTCTTCATGCACTGTGGTCCATATACAGGCAAAGACGACAGATAAGCACCCCAAACTGTCATACAAGGTGACCTGATGTACTGATGGGATAACTAGTTTACAACTAGTACAAGAGTTGAGTACAAGATTGTCATGGTTAGGTTTTGGAATTGGTTACTGTGGAAGACCTGTTCTGGTTAATTAATTTCATGCATCTGGATTTGGGATGGATTTACAGGCAGGTGTTAGAGCACAGAGATTAAAAGAACATAGTGAGAAGGCAGGTTAAATAGGAGCAAGAAAGAAGAGGGGAAGTTGAAATACTGTGTAGGAGATCTTAAGAGCTGTGGAATGTTGCAGTTGTTTGCAACGATCACCTATTAATCTTCTTCTGACTAAAATATAATGCTTTCCTCAATGCACCAGTACCAATCCTGACCTATATTGACTCATCCTGGTAGTCATGCATTATATCCAGGTCTACATTGGTTCAACTGTGTATCTCCCTTAAGCAGGGTTAGAGTTAGGAAGGGATTTAAAGATAAATATAGAATCAGTGAAAGTATTTAAGAGTGAGTGACTGCAAGCTCAACTGTCCCAGGCTAACATTCCAGGAAACCTCAGGAATGCATATGTAGAACTGTCATCCATTGCCTGTCCAATCTCTGTACCTTTTCTCTGATGTTATGGGATTAACAATGATTGCTGTTAACTGTTTGTTCTCTCATATGCACGCAGTTCACATTCCCAGATACCTTTACATTTATGTATGGGAAACTGCTGGAAAGAGATCCAGTGTGCTGCAAGAACCTGCCTAATGCCAAAGGGCTGTTACAGAACTCTAGACCCCAGAGATGCCCACCAGTGGGGACTTGGATCTGAAAGCAGATACATAGACTCTATCTTCCCACTTGTCAGCCCATCATAAATTAGAAGAAATCTGTAAATTACTTTAAAAATGTTCAGAGAGAAAACTATACAAAATACAGAAGCTAAGATTAGGATAGCCCACTGTGACAAGGAATATACAAGTAACAGAAGAACAGTAATACCTCTTGTGAAACAGGAGAGTCTGAGATCATTACATCTCCTTCTACCAGATGAAGAATGAAATCCTAGAAATATAATTTGTTTCACCCCTTCTACCGTCCCAAATAAATAGTATAAAAAATGCTTTTTTCACGTAAATGTGAGATGCTAAGAAACTCAAAAAGCTGAGCTTTATTCTTTATTTTAACCATATAACCCTTCTTCAGTTCTACAGCTGATGTAATTGTCCTCATTTACATCTGTGAAGCTCCTGCCTAAAAGTTTCTATGCTGTGCTATATCTCAATTAACATTATTTAAAGGTTAGCTAAGACTATAATTTGACGTAATTAATTTCTAGTATGGTGACAGCTACTGAGAGGGTAAAGCAAGATCTCACTGAAATCCCAGACTAATAACGACTTTTGGCAAGACAGAAAAACAAGAGCTGAACTTCCCATCAATATAAAAGGATCTTGCAAAACATGTACTATTAAATGTATATGCATTAATAAATACACATTACACATTAAAATAGAAGTAATGTAAATATAAGTTCATATTGTTCAACTAGAACAGTGTGGCTGAGTGAAGACTCGCCCCATCCCACTGTGTATCTGTGTATCCTACAGTATCCAATACTGTAGGTGATGTGGGGAAAGGAAAAATACATATTGGTAAATCCTGTGCTCCATTTCAAAGACTTAATTACAGATTACTTTTTTGGAGTCCTGAAATATCTTTTATTCACTAAAATTTCTGCTGTGATGCTTAAGAAAGAGAGAAAGCAAAGTACATGAAGTTGCAATAGTTCAGCTTCTTTTCTCACAAAAGCTAGAGGTCCAACATCTGGCTTGCTTGGATCATTCTGTCCCCCTCCTAGTAGTGTGGAATCATTCTCCTCAATATGTATTTTAATGCTTTGTCACATCTACATTGAAATGCTGGTAAATTCATGCAGGAAAAACGTCCAAAGGCTTCTAGGACACCTTTGAAAACAGAATCTGGGAGATTAGTAGTATAGGTTATATTTCTTTAGTGGGATCTGAAATTTTTTTTAAGCCTGCTTCTGAAGGTATTGCAGTGGCATGAAGTTTAGTTTGTAAAAATACCCACTAAGACCTTCTAGACCCAAGTGAGGTAGGTGCCAAAGCGGGCTGGGCCAGCGTACAGTGAGGAAGCCGTGACATTTGTGACTCTGCTGCCCATGGTGCTCAGAGCTCAGTGAGAGCAGCAAGCCCTTCCTAGAAAAGAGGCAAGTTATCACCAATCAGTGATTAGTAATGTGTTTTCCCTCTGTGAGTGGTAACTGCTTCCTGCTGTTGCCTTCTGCAGAGTTCCAACTAGTAGCTAGCTTAACCCCTGATCTGGGGAAGAATAATTGCTCTAACAGTCACTGAAAAGCGGTCAGCCCTTGCTTGGGATGGCATTTCCTGTGCTTTTTGTATGAAACATTTGTCTTGTAGTCCCTGTTCACTTTTACTGCACCTCAGAATTTCCTGTATTCAAAATGGAAGAGAGGAGGCTTAGTAACACTTAGCTTGGCTATGGAAAGAAGCTTACAAAGTTTGCTGTAGTAGTGCATCACTTTATTAAGCAGGACGCAGGTAGTATGTTTACCAGTACTGTTCTCCAATGAGCAAGGAGATCTGTTACTGTATTCTGCTAAAATCAGTAATGCTCCCTTTTACAAAATTGTGAAGTTACTCACCTCCATTTGCTTCCTAATTTAGTTATTTAAATGTTCGGTGCAACCAGAAAAGAGGAAAGAAAATGCAGGAGGACATATGTCTAAGATATTGATATAAATAGACAGGGAAAAGTAGTTGTGAATGTTTCATTTTTCTACTTCAGGAAAAGCACTGCCATAAGCTCTTGCTGAGGGAGAAATTGGGGCACAGCTCAGCACTGTTTGTTTTCATGTAGGTTTAGATAATAAAACACAGAAGGCTGAAAGGGAGATTTGATTTACTATTGTTCAGAAACCACATTTTCTTAGGTCTGCAAGCTTCAGCTGTCTCTACATTTTTGCTAGGGTTTTAGATTTTTGCTTTTCTTTACATGTTTTTCCATCTGTATTTTCTGTTTGAGGAAAAAAAAAGGTTTAGAAGTACTAGAAGAGGAGGAGAAAGTGAGTGGTTTGCAGCAAGGAAGCCGAGTCTCTCATTTCATTCATTTCTTCTCTCATTGTTTGGCAGGTGGAAAGCACAGATTTACAGAGCTGAACTGGATCAGCTGAAGAAGTGGGGGAAGAGAAACAAAACAAGTACACCACCATTGAAGAGCTTCAGCTTTATCTAGCAGCATCACCACAGCAACCAGAAAATACAATTAAAAGACAAGGGCTCGAGCTGAGAAGGTGAAAGTACAGCTCCTTACCTTTGGACAGAAGGCAGCAAAATAATTATGCAAAACAGAAGAGAGTATTTGATGGATCTAGCCAAACTGTGGCAAAGGGAGGTGTCCCTTCATTAACAGGAATGTGCCACTGTTTATGCACTGGAAAGGGGAGTGCCATGAGATCTACTGAAGAGACTATTTCTGTGGTTGCATACCTACATGTGTTTGCACCCCTGCTGGGTCTGATTTAGGTGGTACAGGTGTTTTGGAGCATCAGGTATTGGATAGCGACTCTTTGTTGTTGTTGGTCAAGGTGTACCTGGCACGAGAACTGAAGGACACCCACAGATCTTTTTTGGAAGCGCAAACTGAGTGAGACAACCCCCAACCTTTCCCTTCTGTAACTGCCTGCTATACCATGGGATGTCGGCAAAGCTCTGAGGAGAAAGAGGCAGCGCGGCGGTCCCGTAGGATTGACCGCCACCTGCGCTCTGAAAGTCAGCGACAACGAAGAGAGATTAAGCTCCTTCTCCTGGGTACCAGCAATTCTGGGAAGAGTACTATTGTAAAGCAAATGAAGATCATTCATAGCGGTGGCTTTAACTTGGAGGCCTGTAAGGAATACAAACCTCTCATTATCTACAATGCAATTGACTCTCTCACACGTATCATTCGGGCTCTAGCCACTCTTAAGATAGAATTTCACAATCCTGACAGAGCCTATGACGCTGTGCAGCTTTTTGCCCTGACGGGCCCAGCTGAGAGCAAAGGTGAGATTACCCCTGAGCTTCTGGGAGTCATGAAGCGGCTCTGGGCAGACCCTGGTGTGCAGGAGTGTTTTTGCCGCTCCAACGAGTACCACCTGGAGGATAATGCTGCATACTACTTAAATGACCTAGAAAGGATTGCAGCACTGGACTACATCCCTACAGTGGAAGATATTCTGCGTTCTCGGGACATGACCACAGGGATTGTAGAAAATAAGTTCACCTTCAAAGAGCTGACTTTCAAAATGGTGGATGTGGGTGGACAGAGATCTGAACGCAAAAAATGGATCCACTGTTTCGAGGGGGTTACAGCAATAATTTTCTGTGTGGAGCTGAGTGGATACGACTTGAAGCTGTATGAAGACAACCAAACAGTAAGTGTGCCTTTGGCTCCTTATTCTCTTTCCTTCTCTTCCCCTCCCCTTCACCAGTGTTTGGCCTCTTATTCTCCCCCACCTCCTTGCCCTCCCAAGGCTGTAATCTCTGAGTTCCCAGTCCCAAATGTGAGTTCCTTCCCCTCACCCCCAGTCTGTAGTAAAAAGCCAGAAGCTTTGATTGCTATGATTCCTTTATTTGGATTGTTTTGCCCACTTGACAGATGTATTTATTTATTTGAAGTTACTTTTGGAAAAGAAGGTGCTCTTGACAGCAGATTTTTTGTGTGCGCGCCTTTTTGCTAAATGTTTACCTGGTTAACTGTTACTCCAAACGTCACTTAAAGGTAGACAGCAGTGACATCCTAGTGTACAGGGATTGTGAATTTGGACACAGTGTTTTGCAAGTCCTGGGAAATTTTGGAGATAAAATAGTAATAAGTAACAGGTTTATCCCCACTTTCTCTAGGATTTTAAATCAGAATTTGGGATGAAATTAATTTAAAATTATAATCAAATACACTTTTAATTAGTATGGTACTTTCACATTTAAAATGGTATTTGACTGGTTTTGTTTATATGCCTGATTTGCCTTATCCAATGAGTAACTACTCCTGTCTAATTCCCTTTAATGCTATTAGCTTCTGGTTTTCACAGCACGCAAATACATTATCTGTGAAAACAAATACATTACACATAAGCAACTATGTGTTTACTGTCACATTCAGGTTGCCTGACTTTACCTTTATAGGGTTTCCTTTGAACTTACTTTTTTGGTCAGACTTGTAAGACGTGATGCTTAAGAAATGGGAGTTTGTGGGTAGGAACACATAATGATTCTATCATTTAGCAACTCCTAAACAGGCTCGATTTATGTTTGAAACCAGCTGCCTTTCAGGAAGAATTAAAATCTATACTGTAAGATCAGAAAGTTAACCTTAAAATGCTTCTACTTCTCTTGTACTCCTTTACACATCTTCATCTGTTTTACACTTGTTCACCAGTATCAGTTCCTGGAGTAGTCCAGAACACCAGAATCCTTGTCCTTTTATAGCAGGTGCGTTACCCAAGTGTTGCTGGGGAGGAAATTGTTCTGAGAAATGTTGATACAGTGTTTCAAATCTAACAGAATCTCAGTAAGTTTACAGAAGGGGATCTTTCAGCCAGGTCTAATGATCTGGTTTTGGCAGTCCTCTGTGGAAGATGATTACTAATCAGCCTTAACTGTTGTTCTTTATCAGATACCCCTTCCCATTTATGTGCAGTACACACATCTATATTAAAGTTTCTTTACAGAGTATCTGAAGTTAAATGTAGTATACTGCACAGGTCTAAGAGCCGTATGTATGGGTGTGACACTACTTTGTATGTAGCTGTTTATTTCCTTTTCCCTTTTTGTCCTAAAATAATAATTTCAAGGAACCCCAGAAACTCTCAGAACTGATTACCAACTCATATAGGCTTCTCTAAAATGATGAAGTGGGGAAACAGGTTGGGAGAAAGGGGAATTTCCTCCACAAACACGCTCAGTGGAAGGCAGTACTGAAGCTTTACTTAAGATGTCTGTGACAAGGCAGATCTCTTGCAAATTTTCTCCACCCTGAAAAGCTCCACTTCTCTGCCCTGGAGAGGGGGCCAACTGTGACCTTCATCACTGGTGTTACTTTGTACTGGACTTGTATAATGTCAACATAGTTGCATAGCTGATTTTTTTCATTAAAAATTGTTTATTGAGAGCTTCTGTGCTCTTCAAAGAAGCCAAATACATGGTCATGGTTTTGATAATGACTGGAGTAACTGCAATGGCTTTAATGGCTAAATGTGAAAGTCTCTCTAGAATTATGCCTATTTTATATAACACATGCCATTCACCAGATCCTGGAGGCAAGGTGAACTATATCAGTACCTGAAACCACTTCAGTGCCTTCTATCTAGTCTGCTGTTTATACAGTATAACTTATCATAGGATCACAGTATAGATCAAAACATATATAGGGGATTCCACAGTTGTGATGATAGGAATCTATAGCAATTGAGGTGTGAAGTCTCCACAGGACAGAAGTGGTTAGAGAAAGGAATTCCATAGGTGATACTTCGGACACGTTTTCCAGAGTTTGTATCAGAAGCTGACAGATGTTACTGAGGTAGAGCTGGAGGAAGATGCTAATATTTCCTTTCAAGCCATATGAAAAATGCACAAAACAAAAAGAAACAAGTAACAGACAAAACCCATAGAGCAATACTTCCCAGAAATCTCACCCTTGGCTTTTTGTTTGCATGTTTGCTTTTACTGCCATATCTCTCAGTAAAGTCTGGTCTGTTCAAGTTCTGGGTTCTGCAACCAACTCCTTCCCCCCAAAGACGAAATCATCCATCACCAGAGGAAATCAGTGAAACTATTCCCTTCACATCCCATGCACGTAGGAAAGGGGTTATTTATGTATCACTTAACACAATCTCTTATCATTATTGGTACAGTGACGTGAAATTATTTCAACTCATTTGTACTCTTGCTTCCTTTGGCAGTACTTTTGGTTGCTAATACAGGTTCTTTACAAAGGTTTTTCTTATTAGAAGGGAGTTAAGTGATAAGTTTGAGGAGCAATTATACTTGGATTTGAACCAAGACTACAAAATCATTTCCAAAAATATTCCCTTTGTTTTACAAGCTTGCCTTATATGGTTGAATCCCTTTTGTGTGCACTTTCTATGATTCTTCAAGGGAAAAAAACCCTTATGGTCAAGAACATTCACCTAAGCTGAATTTTGACCAAAATTTCAGAAATGCTTGAATTTTACTGTAACTGAAATATGCATTATACTAAATCTTTTACAAATACTTTTCTTATTAGAAGGCAGCTAAGTGACAAGTGACAGTTATACTAGGGCATGAGAAATATCAGACCAGAGAAATGTATTAAAAAATAAAAAAGGACTGTTACTGAATTTTTAATAGCTTAGTCAAATTTGTCTAGGTCTTTCTGCCACATCGCCGCCGTGTGTCTGAGGCTATTCTCTGAGAATGGAATTCTCTCTTAAATTATTTTTGCAGAGAGATGATATTTCCAATGATCCTTGTCAGCACTACTTTAATTTAACCCTTTTTTGTTGGTATAGTTTCACACGTACATAATATTTCCCTGTTCTTGTCTTCTGATTTCACAGCCTATCCACTGCGCTTCCATTTTCTTATCTGTACTACACTAACTGATTCACCATTCACTGTCCTACATGTGGACTTACGTTTCATTATTTGAATAGTCTTGTCTTGGCATTAGTGCCTTCCTATTGTAACAGATCGCTATACTTGATTTTTGTTCAGTAACCTCTTCTTGATGCGAGGCAAGCATTTTCCCTAATTATTTCTCTTCAACTTTGGAGACATTAGAAAAAGCACATTTTCTGTATATCCAGACCCTGCCTAGGGGTTAGTTGGTTTCTTGCATTCTTTAGTCTTTTCCTGACCTGCTCTTCAGATTTAAAAATCAAAAAGAATTAGCCCGAAGGGGAAAAAAGTCAATATACTCTGAAAAATTCTTGCAGACGTTTATTTTGATTCCAGTATCTAGAATCAAATGAAGTAAGCATCTGGGTTATTTCAGAGGGACACTGAAACCCACTTTTGCTCAGTGTTTTAAGAGCCTGGAGGGCTAATCTCCTATGACCTCTTTTTATCCCTTTTCTGCAACCTGATGTTCCTTGGTGCTACTGCTTATAGAGGGTATGCAACGTTGAAATTCAGACTTTTATCATCCCTCAGCTTCCATGTGTGTGCAACCACTGTCCAAGTATTTGCCTATCTATAAAATTAAATTCTGCAAACATATTTTTATGATCTGTGGAGAAATTAGGATACAGATAAAATATGTGAGAACAGTAATCTGCCTGAAACTCCTACTTACGTGCAAAAAGGAGAGGGACGCTAGTAGCATTTCAGCGGGAACCTGACTGTATAATCATAAAGAACAGGTTACCTTTGGCCCATCTTTCTTCGACTGTTATGCTTTATCCAAACATACATCCATAATTTTACTGCGTAGAGATGGCATGTCCCAGGTGTGCTGAATACACAATGCAGTGTTAAACAGCTCCAACTGCTGAACGATGAGAAGTGCCTACGTTGGTTGATGACTTGAACTGCAACACTGAGACTGCCACTCATGAAAAAAAAGCTCTACAAATAATAGTGTTGCTGAGTCTAAAATGCTTCCTGGTGTAGTATCTGTGGTGAAAAGAACCATTAAATAAAACAGTCCACTGCCAAACATAACTTACTGCTTGATAGAGCATGTAAGGATCTGGCTGATTTATGAACTGTGAGAAGTGAGCAAATGATCTATGTGAGTATGATAACTTCTGTGCTTCCTGTTGACAGAAGTGGATAAACGCTGTGCATGAGCTCTGTCTTTATCGAACATGCGTTAAAATAACGATTGACAAATATGGTAAAAACTGAGGGGGAAATGAGCTAGTTCTGCATAGAGGTAGGTCCAGAAATCAGCTAACTTGTGAAGCCTGTTCAGGGTGAGGTTATTGTAGTGACACCAATGTGCAGAGGAGAGAACAAAAATAACACCCAAACTATCAGTTGCCTGGATAATTTTTCCTTTGTGTATAATTTTAAAAGACAAAGAAAGTTAAATTTTATACTGCCTAGAAACAAATGAGAGAAGAGGAAGACAGAATTTTTCTGAGGCTTTTGTCTTTCTCCAGCTATGCTTTATTCTGGGTAACATCACTTGCAGAGACAAAATCTGCTGAGTTAACAGCCTGTAAATCTGGCCAAACCAATATTTTGACTAGTCTGTTCAATGTATGTGATATTTAGCTGCTAACTAAGGAGTGTGATAGTGAAAACTATAATTCTTCACTTCTTTTTCTCCACCTCGAGCACTTTCCTCTGTCACTCAATACCAATATTTTTCCTGCTTATCTAGGGTTATCTGCAAATGTGATCTGTGTCTGTTTTCATTTCCACAGTGTCTCATGCGTTTTTTTCT